ATAATCAAATGGTATACTTGAGAAATTAAGAAATAATTTCATTAGCATTGTGTCAAAATTCTAATGATTAATTTTGACAAAACACCCATGGAATTATTTCCTAATTTCACTCGTCACCATTTGATTACCAATACTAACTTCAGCTGTTTAGGATCATCCCATGCTATCTCGAGATTCTCTGCATGGGCTGCGATAGTCTTTTTTACATGTGTTGATCCGGCAGTAATCTTTGATCTGAAGACTTTTCTCAGGATGGTTTGGAACAAATTTGGCTCTTTCTTGAGGGGTTAAAGATAAATAAATTGGATTATCTCGGGGGCAGACAGGGGCAGGACAAACCCTAGTTACCCTCCACCATTTTCGATGCCATCAAAATGATTGATATTGCATGGTGAAGCAAAATCTTATTGCTTTACTGTAAGCTGTGTTCCTGAAAGTATGTCTAATTATCCTTAGTAGTTTCACAGTGATGTCCTTCATTTTGACATGCTCGACCATGTAAAGTATACTAACCAAACTCTGGCATGTAAAGAGGGTCCCCAATAGGTTTGGCAGGATGCAGGATTTGGCTTTTTTTCGCCATGATATTTGGGATTTGAGCTGAAAACAGGGGCGGGAAGCGGGAGTTACAATTTCAAGTGGGAGCGGTATTTCGTGTTTTTATAGGGTTGGGATGCGGGATTTGCAAGGGGAACAGAGCGGGATATGAGATTTCAATTCTTATGTGTCCTCATAAATTGTTATTGACCAGCACAAGAACCACAAGCTGGTAGAAACAAACCTTTTGTGCGTTATAGCTGTGTCAGGTTTCAAGTAATGAATTGCAACGGATCTGTACCCTGTCAGGTTCTGTCAAACATATCCATTTCGCTTGACTACGTTAGCGTCATGAGACTGTATGAGGTCTTTCAGTCCTGTTCCTATTGATTGCGATCATTTGTGTTGACCTCTGACATCAATGACATCTGTCCATTTCCAACATTTTCGACGCTTGCATCTGCAATCTTGGCCCCTGATCATTCCTAGTTTTTCTAGTCTTTCGACCTTTTCCAGAGTGCTTGGTTTGTTTTAGCCAGGATGGCCACACCGGATGGCGGTGACAGTGATTTACTGTTCAAAGTATGCATTGCGATATATTACGAATGTGCGAGCAGGAATGCCTTCATTCAGAAAGAAAAGTTCTGAGCCCAGATTTCAAGGAAAGTGAAGAGGCTGAAAGCTTTGAAAGAAACTGTCAAGTGTGTATACAGGCCATTTCTTTCACTGATATGTGGACAAAAGAAAACAAAACAGTAAACCATTTATGGAAAGAAACATTATAATCATTTGTGCTTACTTACATGTATCTGCTACCCATTGAATTCTTTTGAAATCTTTCATATGATATCTATTTTTAAAAAGTTTCTGTGTTAATAATTAAACTAATTATTAATTTAACAAATCAATAATTAACACAGAAACGTCTGAAAAGTAGGCGGGATTGGGATTTCCAGTCAAAAAAGGGTGGGATGGCAGGATTAACAGGAAAAAACGGGCAGGAAAGCAGGATCTGAGAACCCTATTGTGGACCCTCTGTAAACAAAAGCAAAGCTGTGGCTTACTAGGATCCTTTAAACTTGTACATCATCAAGAAGAGGTGTAGGTATAAAATGAAATGGTTGAACCTTATTGTCTTGATCATTGAATGCTTACTCTGTGTTACCCCAAAATATATTTTCAGAGAATTTCAAGATGACTTTTTGAAGCTTCTGAAGAGACAATTTGGTATGTGGTGTATTTAATGTGTACTGTAACTATTTTTTTTTACTGATTATGAGTACGCTTTTTACATGACTTTTGTACTTCATGATCTTCCACATCCAGTTAATGCAGTATAATTACAGTTATGTACTTTGTTGGAGGTGTAGTGGCCTAATGGTTAGCACGCTGGACTTCCAATCGATTATTCCGAATTTATTGTTGGGGATAACCCACCAATGGACTACTGTACATGTACGTACGTGTGCATGAAGCATCCCATCCATGACGGAGTAGAAATACAGTACAGTACTCCTATTCCCTTCTCACTTCGTGCTATAGAAACCAGGATAAGATCTGGTGATATCAGGACCACTTGGCCTGACACAGACTGTACCTTACATAGTTGAATATTGTAAGCTCAGATACTATAGCAACCAAGCAGTCACTTACAAGCAAGAAAAATGTCGTTTCTTTGTACTGTACCTGATGACTGAGCATTAGTCTGTATTTGGGAACCACACAACTGAACAAAAATGTCAGTCATGAATCCACATGATCAGTCAATCGTTACAGAGTTTTTTTTTTCCCCTTTACTTTTGTCTTCCCTCATCCGTTACTCTTCTGTTACACTGCACAAGTTGCAAATTAAAATTAAAATTAAAATTTTACTTTAAGGAACCTCCAGGGCTACAAAAACACTTGAATCCCAGCTTGCCCTTTAGACACTTGAGCAGCTCTAAAATTTTGTTTACCCTGGGTAAGTCTTAGTTAACTTAAAATTGTTTAATTTGTTGGGAGACAACTTGCCAGGGCCTAATTCCCCTTCAGGCAAGTGAGAATGAATTAAAGCTACTTGCCTGACAGAAAAATCAACAGTTTGTCTTGGACAACTGGATGGCACTTTTTTCAAACCCTGACCATACATTTGTGTCATGAAAATGAATCTATTGATAATTTTTTTTCTTTTTTTTTTTTTACATGTTTTTAAGGAACTCGCAGAGTTAAAGCAAATCAAGTTTACCAGGATTACATCAGTGACAGACACCATACACACATGAATGCTACCCAGGTCAGTGTGATAACTTTAAAGCACAGGGGAAAAAAGTAAGGAAGAAAAGTGTGTACATGTATTTAAATGAAAATTCTAGTTTGTGTATGATATGGTTCAAATTTATTTTGGCTGAAGTTGATTAAAAAAAAATAATAAAAATAAATCACAATATTTAGAGAGGAAGCCACATGACATTGACCTTAGCTGGTTTTCATGCAGGTCATGGGGCAAGGCAAGAACTAACAACAAACTCAACCCACATACACACATGTATGGCACCGAACTGGAATCGAACCTGGGAGGCAAGTGTTCTCACCACTGTGCCATCCTTGCTCTCCAAATTAAAAACCAGTGTACATGTATTCTAATGTTACAGGTTTTTTAATTTAAAAAAAGGTTATTTTATTTTTTTATATATGTATAATTATAAAATTTGTTTCAGCTATGACAATGTTTTGGCTGTTTTTATCTTTGTTACAGTGGGAAACTCTGACTCAATTTGTTAAATGGCTTGGAAGAGAAGGTACATTGTAAATACATTTAATTGTTATATTTATTTTTCTGAAGTGGTAACCTCACATTCAATGAAAGATGGTATCATAAATTTTAATTGAAAGATTAAGATGTTGTTCCCAGCTGCTGAAACAATGGATAATAACACTTTTATGGTTCCCAGTGAGGAGTTACATGTATTACTACGGTGCCTTTTACACTCAATATATGATTTTAAAAATTAAAGGAAACTTATGGATTCCAAAAGAAAGTACAAAAATAAGAACATGCAAATCTTCATTTTTGAGTTTTACATTTATTATTTATTATCAGGCAATAAGTGTACATGTACATATGTATATGTGATGCATGTTACTTATAACTGCTGCAGACACTGCGTAATATGTCTAATTAATCATTGATATAATTTTTTTCTAATATATGCCTCAGGACACTGCAAAGTTGATGAAACTGAAAAGGGATGGTTTATAGCATATATAGACAGGGATCCTGAAACCATTGAGAGACAAAAGGTAAAAAGAGGAAAAACAACATTAAATTAAATGCTTACAGGTTCCTCATGGTAATAGTGCACTTTCCTCTGGATCAAGTGGTCCATGTTCCATCCTTGGCCGGAGACATTGTGAGTTTTGAGTTAACCGAAACAACTGAATAAAAAGAATGATGCATATGTACAGGGTTAGTCTTGATCTGAAGTCAACTATTAGCAAACACCAGTGAGAGCATGAACTATTGACAACTCTGTGTATTGTTTCATCTTGCACTTCATCACTTTTGTGCTGGTATTTTGTGGATGATTTTTTTCAGAAGTTGAGTCTACAATGAAACGCTGTACAGATGAGTCTAAGTTACTCTTTTTGTTCAGCAGTCTCACTTAACTCGAAAGTGGATAATTAAATGGCTTTCTCATAACCTGTAGAAAAGGAAAAGTCTGTCTGTGAGCCAAGTGACCCATGAGGGTATGCTTATCTCCGGTTTCAGTAGCATGAAGCAACTAAGAGTATTTCTACTCCTCCCTGGATGGGATGTTTAGTCCATCACAGGGTTACCCCCAGCATTAAATTCGCTGGTACCCATTTATACAACTGGTGAAGAGAGACACTGTGAGAGTAATGTGTCTTGCCCAAGAACACAACACAATGTCTTTGGCCAGGGATTGAACCCAGACCACTCAAGCTGGAGATGCACGCACAAACCATGAGGCCACTGCAACACCTTCCAAGACATTTGGGGAGTGTACTGTTTTCTCTTCTTGGTTCAAGTTTCCTACCTACAGTGTACAGTATATATACAGTTGAACTCTGCTATTGAGAACTCTCAGGGGTGTGGGGGGG